TGAAATGTATTAGTTATGTGTGTCTTTTTGCCGACCTAACTGTTACCCGTGTAAATCAACTAATTTAGTCAGATAACTGCATAACTTCAGTAGCACACAAGTCAAGCGTTCTATTTTAAGCTGTTAAGATAATGCACTGTCACCCTGCTTGTTTACACCGAAGATTATTGAGCAAATTGAATCAGTGTAGGAGTGCATACAAATAACATTTGCGCCATTAGGAAACATTAAAATATGTTTTGCTCGTCAATAACCTTTATCAGTCTGAAATTTATTTAATAAATCTACTGGTTAGCGAAACATCGAAAGATAAAAGCTTTGCACAAGACATGTGTGTCATACATTAGTTTAGAAATAATGGCTTTTTTTTGGGGAGGGGCTTATTGAAATTGGTAAAGCTGGAGAATAAACAAGATAACTTTCCATCATAACTCTGGATTGCGCGATATTGTAGGTGCGTCTCGGAGCTTGTCTTAACATCAGGGTAAGCTTGTTATAATGTAACTCATGCCTCTGTACTGGTTCAAGTCAGTGATCTATATTACATCAGAACCTTTAATAGCCAGAAACGACTTGTCCCTTTACAAAAATTGCCATTTTTATTTTAGCTTAATCTGTATTGCTGTACTGTGCATCTTAATGTAAACCCGGTTAATTCCAAATTGTATATATACACATATCAGTGGACATAGACGTAGACTAGTGGGATAAACTGCCAAGTAGGGTTTAGGAAGCCACTTTGAATAGGTTAACATGTAAGCGGGAATGGTTAGGTGGTGTTAACTTTGAACCTGTTTAGCATGGGATCGCTAGACATATTGCTATACTCCTGTTTTTTTTCCTCTCCTTTAATTTACGCATTTCTCAAGGATTTCATTGCATGTAAACAATCACGTGGCATTTGATAAGTTATGGACTTTTTCTTTGCTGATTATGTATCAAACTTTTTTAGTATTACACAGCCCGTAATTCATAATCGAAGTTTTTCACTGATTAAAGTCCTGTTACTTGAAGTGATCATGAACTGAAGGAAAAAGGTCTTAATTGTTTGATCGTAATCTGGGTGTAAATTACTAATGTGTTTATTGTTAGGGGACGTACTATATATATTATTGATGCATTGTAAGGTTTTAGTTACTATGATGGTATACAAAAGTGGTGTAGTCAGAGAATGCTGGCAGCGATGTGTTGATGGCGTTTTCCATGTCTTGGGCAACAGTGGTGAAGCTTTAGTCAACATTAGCAAAAAAAAAAAAAAGGGGGGGGGGGGAGGGGTTATAGTGAGTTCATTAACTGGACATTCTACTGACTATTCATTGTTCGCTACCTTACTAGTGTTAGCGGTTCATATACAAGTTACATCACCCTCCCGGCACATTACTGAATATTATCACGTGATAGCGACTCGAGTGGTTGCGAGTTTGGTTCTTAACTGAAGGAACCCTTCTTGAATATGCGTGCCTGAGAGAGGGGAGGGGGAGGGAGGGAAAGAGGGGGGCTCATCTTAATGTAAATCAAGTAGTAATTCTCCTTATGGAAGGGCACCATTATAAAAATCTGAAAACTTTAAATTCATTTTAATATTTAATATATTTTCTGGAGTTTAGATAAAAATTGATGTCTAAACAGCTAAAGGGATTTGCATTAAAATTTACGTAGTGTAAATGACATGTTTTAGAGGTTGTGTATATTTTTCAGTTTGATTACCCAGTTTATTATTGATGAAGAGTATGATACTCCAAAAATTTAATAAAGCTAGCAAATTAGAGGCTAAATCCTGCTCAAAAATTTAACTTTCATCCAAGACACTTACCACTGCAAGTCACACCAGTTAATTGCAGAAAACAGTATCACAGTTTGTTTAATATAATTGTCACATTGGGACATACTGTATGTAGTCCAGTAACACAAACCTTCTGTTAAGCAAAACACCTGTGCTAAAAGTTTGAATCTTACCAGGAAACACAATCTCGAGTTATTACACAAAATCTAATGATTCCATTTTTTTTAAATGTTAATACAGTATTTTGGCAAATTTGCTCCTATACAGTCTGAACTTATTGGGTCTCATCCTTCTCATAAGACACATCAGCTATTGACAATTGAAGGTGTTTAGATAAGGCAATCGAGATATTTCCTGAAGAAAAATACAGAATTAATTTTAAAACTAGTTAGGAAACTGTCACCTACATGCTCCGGTAACAATTCCAGTCTTCTACTAAGTAGGATACACTAATGATGAAATCTTAAGCCCACTCAGTTTTCTCACAAGGAAACCACAACTAGGACCGGTCCATGTTCCATTGATCAAAGGGCACCTGCACATGTCAGTAGTTGCAGAGACTATTCACGCGGAAAGATCCATGTATGATAGCTGTAGTTACATGATCATGCTTTTTTTTTTTTTTTTTCATAATACACCACATTATCATGCTGCCCTATTCTGGCATTGGACAAAGTTAAAGCAAGAGCTGTAGTGGCCTAGCACACAATCACTCAGGATGGCTAATCATACACTGGTCATAACGTCTCATAATCTGTACTGCCAAGTTCTAGTTAGTTCATTAAAGCTGGTTTGGAGGTTCTTAACACTGGAGGTCATCGCCCCCCGCGGCCCGGTCCCAGACCAGGCTTCCTGGTTGCTGACCTAATCGATCAAGCGCTCTCTCAAGGTGACCGATCACGCAATGGGTTGTGGAGTCAGCCAAATATGATCTTGGACAATTTAGATTTTGAGGAAGTCACATAATGGTCATCACATTCTCAAACAATTTAGAATTTAAGGTTTCGCAAAGTTAAGCATTACAGATAAATACAACTATACATTGCTCAACTATTCATACATTCAAAAGCGGTAAAAGTTTCAAAGAGGAAGTAATAGGATATGAGCACAACATATATTAAGGAGAATTCGCTTAGGTTAACAGTAGGCATTTATATTGAATGTAACAACATCTGCACTAACAGTTCCAAGTTAATGGTGGTTATGTCGTGCCGGATAGGTAAAACTGGTCAGTTAGCAAGAACTCATTTAAAATGAAGTCCTTTCTAAAATTTTCTCTTATGCATTTAGATATTTTTTTAATTTGTTAATATAAAAATTAATGATTTTGTACCAAAAGCACCTTAGAAAACTTACCCAACCTTATTATAACAAGCTCAATTTCATTAAGCCTAATCCAACTAAATATATTTTATACAAGTTTACAATAATTTAATAATAAACCAAACACAAATGTATTTTTTCGTTAGTTTCAGAATGATTTTTTTTTTTTGCGAAATTATTGCATACACAGATTTTCGCTTGACCTATTCGGCAAGAAGTGCGTTACTATATAAGCCAGAATCGCAAGTTTTACTTATTCGGCACGAGTTATATAGGTCATCAGTAGTTGGAATGTTTGTTATCCGACAGAGTACGCATAAACATCAACATATATACTCGACAAATGATAAGAATTCAATGGTATGAACGCTGGGATCTTTGTCCTGTGTATATACGTGGAGAGTTTACTAAGTTAAGGGATTACAGTAAAAGTTTCTTATCACTAGTGTTGGACAGGTGACATGCAGCATTAATGACTTATGTGGTCGATATGCTTTAAATACAATAAGCCAACTGCCAAAATAATAATCCACACAACAGTGAAAACAATACGTTATTGTACAATAAAATGTTAGACCACAACAACAACAATAATGACGTTAGCGAGTAGTTGATATTTAACCGATGTATAGTGACGTGGACGAGAGATAATATAGAAATGGTTCCAGTATTTGTCACATAACACGCAAATGTATAATTTAAGCATGAAATATATTTGATAATAGCCGGTTACCACTGATTGTCTCTGGCAATCGTGGGAGTCAGTGGGCTCTTGGCTATCTCAGGTTCACCAGTCCTCCACCCATCCCAATCCCTACCGTCCATCCCCTGTCCATCTCTGTCGTCCCAGTTTACACATACCTGTTAGTCACTGCTTCCTCCACATCTTGCCATCCTCCAACAGTTTTCCTCACCCCATTCTTTTAGCTTTGTTCCTACTGTATAACTATCAAGCCAAAGTAGTAGTACACTACTGATGTATCTAATTTTTTTATAAAAGAAAACCTTTTCCCTCATTCTTCCCCTTCCATCATCATTCCTCTCTCACTTCTCCCATCCCCTCTCTCACCTTGCTCTTCCTCCCCTCCCTCACATTGCTCTTCCTCTCCTCCCTCACATTGCTCTTCCTCCCCTCCCTCACATTGCTCTTCCTCCCCTCCCTTCCCTCACCTTGCTCTTCCTTCCCTCACCTTGCTCTTCCTTCCCTCACCTTGCTCTTCCTTCCCTCACCTTGCTCTTCCTCCCCTCCCTGCCCTCACCCTGCTAGCAGCATTGCTGATGTCCCAAACCTACACAATACCATAATGTGTTGCAGTGAGATATGGAAGGAAATGTAAAATAACCTATGTAGGAGCAGTCAGAACTGCTTGTCCTTGGACAGTCTTACTTTAGATCAGTCCAACTGGCTGTATCCTAATTGGTAGAGCTGACTCCATCTGTTTGCTTGCTGTTTGGAGACATTAAACTTGTAGTATTTTAAGCACTACCATGTTGCCCCACTTTCATTGGTCACATTTACCAGCAACCACATATTCACCAAGTAGTTGCACAGTTGAACATAAAGATGAGATCAGAGGTCAGAAGCAGAAACCCATAAAAATGTACCTGTTCACTTTTGAAATTTCCAACTAGATTATGATGCAGGCCAGACTGTATAGCTGATTAGTCGCAACAAAAATGTGTTGCTGATGATTTATATCCAGTGGTAACCATATTGTACATTAATATGATTTGTTTCAGGCTATTAGCCTCATAGGGTGAGAAGTACAGTATAATTTCAACTGATTCATTAGCATTTTACATTTTGGTGACAATGAGATGCTAAAATATGGATCTTATAGACTAAAACTTTGGCAGTTAATTTGATTAATTAAGTGTATCCTTTCCATTGCAGTTGGTGCGGACAACAAGTGATTTATTTCGCTTGTTGCCATTCTCAGTGTTCATCATTATCCCGTTCATGGAGTTTTTGTTACCTGTAGCACTTAAGCTCTTTCCTGGGATGCTTCCATCAACCTTTGAGACCGCCAATGAAAAGGTAATTAAATCATGTCTAGTGGACATACTATAAACTGTGAGTGTGTGTGCCTTATATTAATGTACTTTGTGAATGTGTACTAATGTATGCTACTGTATTAATGCAACTGCAGTAACTTTTTAAGGTACCATGGCAAAATCTCCTATGATCATGAAATACTGTACACACATATGGAGCACAATGTGTGTGTACAGCATTATTTTATATATAATATATATATATATAATTATATATATATATATATATATATATATATATATATATATATATATATATATATAATGTCATGCCGAATATGTAAAACTGGTCAATTAGCAAGAACTCATTTAAAATTAAGTCCTTTCTGAAATTTTCTCTTATACATTTAAAGATATATTTTTTTCATTAATGATAATGTAAAAATTTTTAATTTTGCAACAAAAGAATCTTAGAAAACTTACCTAACCATATTATAACAAGAGCAATTTATTTTAACCTAACCCAACTAAATATATTTTAGATTTGTTTACAATAATTTAATACTAAACAAACGCAGTGAAATGTATTTTTTTTCGTTAGGTTCAGAATGATTTTGGTGAAATTATTGCATACACAAATTTTCGCTTGTCCTATATGGCAAGATGAGCGTTGCTATTTAAGCCAAGATCGCAAGTTCTGCCTATTCGGCACGACATATATATATATTACATATATATATATATAATATATATATATATAAATATTATATATATATATATATAATATATATATATATTATATATATATATATATATATATATATATATATTTATATATATATATATATATATATATATATATATATATTTATATATATATATTTCACATATATATATCACAGTACACATATATATGATATATATATATAAAATATACTTATATATAGATATACATATATATATATATTTTTATAATTCAATATAAATGTTTTTTTTATTTTTTTCAACATAGTCTCCATCTCCCAACCCCGGAGGCATGGGTGACCCAAAAATAGAAAGTGATAATCCCCAAAAAGAAAATACTTTCTATCATCATCAGCACTATATTCACCACACTCCAACGACATTATCACTGTTTTTTCAGAGGTGCTCAGTACACAGTTTGAAGTCATATCGTATAAAGATACACTAACATATCCCTCCAAACTTCCGAATATCCCAAACCCTCCTTAAAGTGCAGCATAGTACTTTCCACTTTCCAGTCACTCAAGTCCGATCTATATGAAAAATAACCCCTTTCCCTGAATCCCTCACTAAATATTACCCCCCTTCTCAACTCCAACAGATCGTCAGTTCCCAAGTACATTCGCCTCCATTCAACTTTCCTATCTAACACGCTCACGCACGCTTGCTGGAAGTCCAAAGGCCCCTCGCCATAAACTTCTTTACCCCCTTCTCTCCACCCTTTTCGAGGACACCCCTACCCGCCTTCCTCCCCTATAGATTTACTATCCATGTCAATTCTCTTTTGATCCATTCTCCTAAATGACCAAACCACCTCAACAACCCTCTTCTGCCTCTGACTAATACTTTTATTAACTCCACCCCTTTTCCTAATTTCCACACTCCGAATTTTTTGCATAATATTTACACCCCACATTGCCCTTAGACATGACATCTCCACTGCCTCCAACTGTCTCCTCGCTGCTGCATTTACCACCCAAGCTTCCCATCCATATAAGAGTGTTGGTACTACTATACTTTTATACATTCCCTTCTTTGCCTCCATAGATAACGTTTTTTGACTCCACATATACCTCAACGCACCACTCGCCTTTTTTCCCTCATCAATTCTATGATTAACCTCATCCTTCATAAATCCATCCGCCGACACGTCAACTCCCAAGTATCTGAAAACATTCACTTCTTCCATACTCCTCCTCCCCAATTTGATATCCAATTTCTCTTTATCTAAATCATTTGATACCCTCATCACCTTACTCTTTTCTATGTTCACTTTCAACTTTCTACCTTTACACACATTCCCAAACTCATCCACTAACCTTTGCAATTTTTCTTTAGAATCTCCCATATGCACAGTATCATCAGCAAAAAGTAACTGTGTCAATTCCCATTTTGAATTTGATTCCCCATAATTTAATCCCACCCCTCTCCCGAACACCCTAGCATTTATTTCTTTTACAACCCCATCTACAAATACGTATATTAAACAACCATGGTGACATTACACATCCCTGTCTAAGACCTACTTTTACCGGGAAGTAGTCTCCCTTTCTTCTACACACCCTAACCTTAGCCTCACTATCCTCATAAAAACTCTTTACAGCATTTAATAACTTACCACCTATTCCATATACTTGCAACATCTGCCATATTGCTCCCCTATCCACTCTATCATATGCCTTTTCTAAATCCATAAATGCAATAAAAACTTCCCTACCCTTATCTAAATACTGTTCACATATATGCTTCAATGTAAACACTTGATCTACACATCCCCTATCCCACTCTGAAACCTCCTTGCTCAATCCGTAATCCTACATTCTGTCTTACCTCTAATTCTTTCAATTATAACCCTACCGTACACTTTTCCTGGTATACTCAGTAAACTTATTCCTCTATAATTTATACAATCTCTTTTGTCCCCCTTCCCTTTATATAAAGGGACTATACATGCTCTCCGCCAATCCCTAGGTACCTTCCCCTCTTTCATACATTTATTAAACAAAAGTACCAACCACTCCAACACCATATCCCCTCTTACTTTTTACATTTCTGTCATGATCCCATCAGTTCCAGCTGCTTTACCTCCTTTCATTCTACGTAATGCCTCAAGTACCTCCCCCACACTTACATTCTGCTCTTCGTCACTCCTAAAAGATGGTATACCTCCCTGGCCAGTGCATGAAATTACCGCCTCCCTTTCTTCCTCAACATTTAAAAGTTCCTCAAAATATTCTCGCCATCTACTAATACCTCTCCCTCTTCCCCATCTACTAACTCCCCTTACTCTGTTTTTTAACTGACAAATCCCATTACTTTCCCTAGGCTTTCTTAACTTGTTTAACTCCAAAATTTTTTCTTATTTTCTTTTTAAAATTTTTTGGGACGTCCCTTTCTCCCCCTCTTTCTTTCTCCCCTCTCCTTTTGCACTCTCTCACCACTCTCTTCACCTTTTTTTTAAACTCCCCGTTTTCTCTGCCTCCTCTTAAAAAAATTTTGCTTTGTAAAAACCTCTTTAAGTTTAACTTTTTCTCTTTTATCACACCCTTTACTTCATCATTCCCCCAACCCATTTCCTTTTTCCCTTTTCCTGCCCCCCCCCCTCCAATAACCACAAACTTCTCCCCCCACTTTTAAATTTACTGCTTTTTTAAAACTTTTCCACCCTCTTAAACCCCCCCCCATACCATCTTTCCCTCTAGCCCCCCTTTTTCTGCCAAATAGTCGCTTTATCTCACCGAACTTCCTCCTCCTTAGTTTAACCTTTCCTTTTCCCCTTACTTGTTGTTGACCCCGGGCCGGGTCCCTCTCCCTTTTACTCAAACTGTAGTACAATTTAAATAATGGTCGATTTTATCATTTCCCCCTCTATAAAAACATGTAACCCTGGGGGCCTACCCATAACCTTTTACCCCACCTTTTTTTTAATCTAAAAAAAACTTCTTTCATTACGTCAACATCATCCTTGTATATTTATTTATCCTCTTTTTCTTAAATATATATAATATATATATATATATATATATTTATATATTTTTATAAATATTTATATATACAGTGGACCCCCCCCATAAGGGATTCCCTCCAAATCCCGACCAATTATGAAAGGGTGTTTTATGTAAGTGCGTTTGTATGTGTATTTTTGGGGGGTTTCTAAAATGGACTAATCTATTTCCCACAATACGTGGCCCCGGGGGGTTAACGAATTTTTTTCCCTTTCCATTTGTATGTTCAGGGGGCCTTTTACTGACCGTTTTTTTCCCCATAAGGAATATTGTGAATTTGTTTAGTCTTTTTCCGGACCCCAAACATTATTTTACAAACGCACTTACTTTAAATACACTTACAAAATTTTGGTCCCCCTTTTTTGGAGGTGATCTTTAAAGCGGGGGTCCACTGTATTTTTTGGGAAAAATTCGGTCAGTACTGGCACCTGAACTTTACTTCTGGAGGGAAAAAATTACCCGAAAAAGGGGGGGGGTTCCACTTTTTTATATTTTATGTGGGGTTGAGTGAATGGGGTGGGGATTTTTTAAATTCAAGTGTGAGAGTAATGGTGGTTGGGGATTTCAATGCAAAAGTGGGGTTAAAAAAATGTTATGGGGGGGAGTAGTAGGAAAATTTTGGGGTTTCCCGGGGGGTAAATGTAAAGGGGGACCCTTTTAATTGAGCTATGGGAAAAAGGGAAAATTTGGTAAAAAAGTAATACATATTTTATGAAAAAGGGATAAATAAAATAAAAGGGTTTGATGTAGCCGTAATGAAATTTAGTTTTTTTTGATTATGTTTTGGGTTTGGATAAAAGGGTTTGGGATGGGTAGGCTCCAGAAATGTACAGTTTTATAGAGGGGCCCCTGATATATGGATCTTTATTTAGTTGTAGCTACATTTTTTAGAAAAGAATAGTGGGAAAAGAGGAAGGTGGAAACAACAAGAAAGAGGGAGGGGGAAGGTGTATAAACAAAGGGGAGGAGGAATTTTCGGGGAGTAAAAGCGACTTTTGGCAGAAAGGTGGGCTGTCCCAAAGTTTGGTAGTGGGGGGGGGTTTGAAGGGGGTTTGGGAAAATAGTTTTAAAAATGCAGTATTAAATGGGGGGCAAAAGTTTTTTGGTTAAAAGGAGGGGGGGGGCAGGGGGGGAAAGAGGGGGTGATTGGGGGAAAAATGATAAGAAAAAGGGTGGGGTTTAAAAGAAAAAAAAGGGTAGTTTATGAGGGGTTTTTTTACAAAGCAGAAGTGTTATAAGAAGAGAAGAGTATATGGAGGGGTTAAAAGAAAGGTAAAAAAGAGTGGGGGAGAGA